CCTCCCCCTTCATCCCCCTCCCCCCAACATCCCCAACAAACTCCCCCTCAAACATTCCTGCCCCACACCCCTCCCAATCAGCACCACCTTTGCACTCCCCTGCTCCTCCTGCTCCCCTCCCACCTCATTCGTATCGTACAAGCTCCTCACGCCCTGGATAAGCAGCGTCCTGCCATCGCGCACCGGAACGCGCGCCTTGAGTCTGTGGACTTCGAACGGCTGGTGGGGCGCGTGGTTGGGGAGAGTTTGGTCCCAGAGGACGGTGCGGAGGTAGAGGTCGAAGGTGGGGAGTTGGGCGGGGGTGAGGGGTGGGAAGGTTATTGTTGTTGTTGAGATTGACTTTAATTTTTGGGGGGGGGTTTTGATTAGTGGGGTGTGGATGGTGAAAGGGAAGTTTGGGAGAGGAGGGAGGAGGTTAGGGGCAACGTACGGGATCTAAATGGCTGTGACCTTTTGGTGCGAATTGCAAATCTGCATCAGTGACGTGGTCGTAAGCGTGGAGATCGAGGACCAGGCCTTCGAGTTTGGGGACCTGGCTTTTCGTCGTGGTTTTGAGGCGTGCAAGGCCGTTTATGGATTGGATGCGACGGGTGACAATGTCTAGTTCCTCTGGGGAGACGAGATCGGTCTTGTTAATGAGGATGACATCGGCGTGGCTGATTTGCAAATGGGCGGTGGTGAGCAAAGGACCTTTGTGGTGATGGGAATCCTGGTCCTGTAGTCTTTTGCGCAAAGTTTCCTCGTCGTCGCCGAGGCCTTCGTCCAGGCTCTGGAGCACGTTCTTGGCATCGACGACGGTGACGATGCCGTCGAGGAAAATACTACTGCCTAGCCCCTCGTCGAGCCAGAACATGGGCGCGATGTTGCCGGGATCCGCGAGTCCTGTTGTTTCAAGGAGGATGTAGTCGAAGAGACCTGATTGCTCCATGAGATTCTCGATTGCGGCTACGCCTACATCCTTGACGGAGCAACATATGCATCCGTTTGCCAGGGGCACAAAGGGTGCTGGGGACGCAGAAGTCGAGTTTACGTCTGAGACGGTCAGGGACTTTTCAATGTCGATGGAGTCGCCGAATTCGTTGAGGATGACGGCGATCTTCTTGCCGTGGTGGGCGGTCAGAATGTAGTTTAGCAGTGTTGTTTTGCCAGCGCCGAGGTAACCGGTGATGATGGTTATGGGGACTTTGCGGATGGGGGGCGAGGAAGAGTTGCCTAGGAGGGGTGGGGCTTCTTCATCCTCTGTTTCTTCTGGTTTGCTATTGGTGGTGGTGGAGGAGGGCACGAGGATGGGGACCTCGTCGTCTGAAGCATCCGTGTCCATTGTTTGGTTGGGGAAGAGGGAAGTCAAGAAGATTATGCAGATGGCTTGGGTGGTTGTAGTAGCTCAGCTGTCAAGTGTCTGATATAACTACAAAAGTATCAGGATAGTTCGGTTGGAAAAGCTACGAAACTGAGATGTCAAGGACGTCAAAAGAAAACTTATTAACAAGACGTCGTAACATTACCTAGGCAAGAAATTCTTCAACTCTGAATCCGTTGCTCGGAGTTGTTGTACCCCGCAATCAGAGGAGCTAAGACAGCTCAAGGTAAGGTCCTGAATTATAATGAGAATCGGTCTACTCTTACCAGCAAAGTGTCTTTATTTTATGCGGAATCGTCCAAGTCGTGAGGGTGTCGTAGGACATGAAATGTACACGCACCAGACGCTATTGTACCGTCGTACTATTGCCTATGCCGTTTCATCACTAGTGTGGATCTCGCGTGGGGGAAGGAACAACCCCGGCCCCTGCCCTGCGTCCCCAAGCTCAGATGCGCCATGGGGGGGATGGGGGAAGTTGAGCCCCCACTAGAAGACGACAACAACAACAGCAACAGCAACAACGACAACAACAAATCCTATCCCACGCACATAACTTCCGATTCTTCTCGTAAGCATTGCGAGTGCTCCGTTGCAGCCATGGCGTCCCCAGCTTCCCCTCGCCTTCCCAGTCCACCGCCGATTCCAGAAGACCAGTTGTCGCCCGGACCAGTCTCCCTCGAACAACAGAAGCTGGTTAGCAATCTTGATCATGCCGCTGAGAGGAGGATACGGCCCGGCACGAAAGCTGAGGACATGGCCGAGGGACCTCCGCTGGTCGACTTGTCAGAGGTAGGCTTTGCGACAGGTAACAAAGCGTGTGTGCGCATGGCTAACAGCAAAGCCAGATCGACTCGGCCTTCCAGCTTACAGAACATCTCAAGGCACTCCACAACTTCCTCACACACCCCATTGGATCGAACAGCACAATACCGGTTGATCGAGACATGGCATACAAACTCTCGCAGGCGCCCGAGAACGTGGACAAAACATTATGGCTCTACGAGCTGTGCCGCTTTCTCACCCAAAAGGTCAACTCCATCATCGTAGCTCTCTTCAGCGACAGCCCGCCATGCTCGTCTTCGACCTGCCCCGAGATGCGCGCATCGGAATGGCAGTACCTCTGTGCAGTCCACGACCCACCAAAGTCATGTTGCGCCATCGATTACTGCTGTCACACCCTAGATTGGGCCGCCAACACACTCACATCACCCAAGCACTTTCCCTCGAGATTGGCGCTAGGCACCGACCAGTCTACACAACACTCACAAATGCGTCAATTGACCAACATCTTTAGGCGCGTGTACAGAATATTTGCGCATGCGTGGTTTCAACACAGGGACATGTTCTGGAAAGTCGAGGGCCGCACAGGGATATACGTCTTCTTCAAGACTGTTTGCGATGTGTACGGGTTGATTACAGAGGAGAACTACACCATCCCTGCTGAAGCAGAAGGCATCGAGCCACCGACTGAGAGGAGAACATCGGTGCCACCCCTGATTCTCAAGCGGGAACCCTCGGAGCTTAGCAACTACGAGTCGGATACCGGCACAACAATTGGAGGCTTGACGGACCATTCGTTATCTAGTGCTACAACAAAGAGACATCGGCACTCGCCATCTATAGGCGCAACGGCGGTACAGACCGTTGTAGAGGAGAATGAAGAGGAAGAGGAACGGGCGACGCTACAACCACGGCCCGTTACACAAATCTTCGAGTCGTCGGAGCAAGATGACGAGAGTGAAAGCGAGCAAACAGTGGTGGAGGATGAGCAGGAGGAGGAGGAAACCAAATCTAATCATGAGACGGCTCCACAAGTTGCAACAGAGGCCGCAGAAGCAACAGCAAAGCAGAGTAAAGAAAGCGTGGAATCTCCAGAGTCAGATGATGCCGCGGCGACTAAAGCAGACGAGCACGCTGGCACAGAGGTGCCAGGTACCGAAACATCTGAGACAAGCGCGGAACCTATAGCAGGTAAGGAAGATGCCGAGGAGGAGGAAACGTCAAAGTCGACAGGGACTGAGCCATGCGCAGAAAAGTCTGAGAAAGTAGAGGCGACCGATGCTGGCGCCGAAACAGAGGACAAGGCTGACGAGGGCAAGAAGGCAGGGGAGGAATCGTAGACGAGACATTAGGTCGATATCCAGGGACGCGATGATTGGGGGGAATCAAGAGACAATGTCCGCTTCGGCTCCGAGATGGAGACCTGTGTTGTCGTGTGTGTGTACTATGTCTATGTACTATGAGGTGTTTGGTCCACCTTTATCTTCCTATTCAGCCTGGAGGAGTTAGACTTGACCGAACGTTAGTTAGTCGACCAAAGCAATACATGACAATCGCAGCCAGCTGTTGACTACAATGCAACGAGTAGTAGACCCCAAACACCCCAAACACCCCAAGCCGTACCAGTGCCCTGCGCAAGACAAAAGGGAAGCATGTGCAAACCCGCCCAGCGCAGAAAACTTGTGAGGTATTTTTTTCCTTCTCTTCCGTTTTTTGGTATACGGGTGAGGGTCGGGTAGGGTGTATATAGGTGTGGACCTCTTGTGTATTGTACAGGTAGATTCGGCCCGGGGGTGCTCGGCTTGTTTCTTGGGGGTGGTTGGAGGTGCTAGGGGCTGGAGTGGGTTGGGTTGGGAGGTGAGGAGGAATGGAGAGATGGTGGGTATGTGGTTGATGGAGGGGAGAGGATGGGAGTTTGAGTTTGGAGGTTGGAGGTTGTGTGGATTGGTAAGGTGAGGGAGAGGGAGAGGGGGGTTAATGGATAAGGACTGAGGAGTACTGTGTATCTAGGGGCTGTGGAGGGTGTGTGTGAGAGGGGGTTTTTTTTCCATTGTGTGATGGTGAGTAGGGTGATTGGGAGTTGGAGTTGTAATTGCACCATCCCACTCAGCACTAGAGAAGGAGAACAACCTATCTATAGTTTGTATGCATGGTAGTACGGTACATACATGTCGTATCGTAGTAGGAGTACACAGTGACCGACACACGGGCCACGAGCCTTGAGTCGAGCTGGGTGGGTTGGTTTGTTCGCTGCAGCCCTATGGGAGAAAAAAGGTACTGCCCAAGTTGGGCTCATAGGTGTGCGTTTGTGTGTCGAATCAGGGCGCTGGGATGTCTCACTGATATGCACGGAATTCATGTGCGTGTTTTGTTTGAGGTTTACGAGATGGGATGACAGGGGGCGTTGGCTACAGGTGCAAATACTAGTATGGTATGGGGAGGGGTAAATTGGCCCCCCCCCCCCCCCCCCCCCCCC